GTAGGCTCTGATGCCATGAATGACGGTGCGCAGTCGCGCGTACCCGCGTCGCGCCCAGGTAGCCGGGCGAAGCGAAATTCGTTGGACCTACAGACTCGGGCCACTTCGATAAGACAGTACTTGCAGGTGCTGCGGGAAATGTTCCAAAAAGAGTGTGGTAACTTGGTCTACGAGGGGAAGGTCAAGAGCAAGGCTTGTCCGGGCAGCCCTGAGAGGGTGTTGCCGTGTTGCTTTTCGAGCAGCACCACCCACTTCGCTCTGAAGGGCGCCAAGTGCACCGCTGGATTCTGAGAGATGTGTCGTTGACATACAGAGTTTCCCACGCTTCGCAAGGAGATTTCGCTCTCCGATGTTGTCGCGCTGCCAAGCTGAGCAGCAGCATAAGCCGTGTGGGGTGAATGGAAAATATTCAGAGTAGTGCTTGGGGAAGCCTCACCATTCCGCGCTCATGTTGCACATTCTCTAGATCACTGTTTCAAGCGACTAACCTGGTGATGATGGTGATGGTGGTGGAGATGATGGTGATGGTGGTGATGGTGGGTGGTGCTGGTTGTGGTGGTCGTGGTGATGATGGTGGTGATGGTGGGGGTGGTGCCCTTGGGTTGAGGTATGATTTGATTTCCTGGCTTGCCTCATGCAGAGCAACACATGTACAAACAGGAGGGGCGGACCCCGCTCCGCAGAGGGCCCTATGCTTCGCGACGGCAACCGCCCACACCACAGCCTCTGAGAGAGGGTGAAAGAAGTCTCCATGCTATTGTTGGACCTCTGGCGAACTGTTAGCTTTGTCCTTGTTAAATTTGCGAGTTTGTAGGATCTATTTTTCGACCCTCTTGAAGCTATACATATTTCAGTTTTTTCTTTTGCTTGCATGCAGTTTGTACAATAAACTTTACGATAGCAACCAGCTGGTGCATATGATGCAACCATGAAAGATATATCAAGACATAGACATATCCTTCCATGAACTTAGTGATGCAAGTGACATCAAAATGATAAATATAGTCAAACAAAGATGATCTGTGAAAACCATATGCTTTTCTCCTCCCACTCCCACTCCTCTCCCTGACACGCCTCATGATGCAGGATATGCATGTTCGCTTCCGAGCGGAAATGCACTCCCCTAGCTAAAGCTATACTACGCCCCGCAGCACCTTGGCGGATTTTTGTTTTCCAAAGTCTTCAACGAGACGAGCCATTGCTCGTCGAGTGCGTGGCATTTTTGTCACAGACATGCCACTCAGTAGCTGCTGTACAGTGGAAACTGCTGCATGGGCCGCATCAATGTTTCAATCAGTTCTACATATTCCCTTATGCTCCAGAACACTTGTCACAGAGTGTCTGGAAACCAGCTGGTGAGAGAAGGTTTGGAACTTGCAGTTGGTGAGAGAAGCCGCGGGGCTCCGGGCGCGTCCTCACGGCATTTTGGTCCCATTCTCACACATCCACGCGTCTTTTCATGTGTGAAACATTCATGATGATCATGAAGAATACTTGGCATCTATTTTTTGTTTTCAGCACAGTAGCTGAGCCCTGGGATGGAATGGGTCTTCTGCGGGATGCTGCTTTGAGAGGTTCGCTTCCCTCCCAAGCCGTGGTTGTGTGGTCCATTTGCGAGTTAACTGCGATTGATCAATGAGATGTATCTCATATGCATGTTACATGTTGGCCCTTTGGCCAGTCAGTCAGTAGTGGCACATGTTGACTGGCTGAAACCTGCAGCCTCTGCTCACAGCTGCCCAACCCGCCATTGCCTGGCATGTCGTTGGCCGCAACGACCCTCGATGGTGGTGTTGTGGCAGTCACAGCACCACTGAAGTTTCGGCTAAGTGTAGCTTGGACAATTGGGTGAACTCAAGGTGAGCGCTTGCATGTTTGAGTGGAAGAGTATCTAGAAAACATCTGGCTACATGGTCCGGCTGCAGTCAAGGCGGTTGGCTTTGCAATCCACCTTGGGATCAAGCAATTCCTGGAGCTGCAGAAGCCCTAGGACAATGATCGATTTAGCTTGATTAGCAATTAAGCTTAACATGCACACTCCGAATCTGGTTGCGCGTTAGCTAGGGGTGTGCAAGCTTTGAATCTGCACATGTGCTTACATGTGTCCACATCCTGCCTTCCAGCGCTTCCAGGAGAAGTGGATAATGAGCTGGGAGCATGATGAAGACGTCCAGCAATCTTTGGTGTCAGCCTTGGTGGACAGGCTACCCATGGAAGGTCAGCTGGAGATCTAGTATACTCATCAAACCTCAACCCAAAAAAACTGGAAGCCCAGGCCATGGAGAGCTTTTTGGTGCAAAACTATGAAGTGATCAAGGAGGTGCTCCTGTCCGCGTTTGAGCAGAACAACGAGACTTGGGGAACTGGAGTGCCAACGCTGATTCGATGGTACTTTGAGCTACTTGTTCGCACTAGGTGGTACACGCATGCAACCAAACCAGTGAAATCAACAGCTTGTCCCAGAGGCTCTGTGCTGAATTCAGCCTGGCGCGATTCGCCGCTGAAGTCTGAGTGGCCAGCGTGTGTTGCAGACTGAGATGGCTTGCCGATGAGCAAAAATGTCGGCGCACATGGATGCACATGAGACATCGCAGGGAAAACCTTGGTGCGTGAAATTCCATAGTTCCCTGAGAAAGGGTTTGGACACAAAACAGGCTCAGTGAGGTCTCAGGCTCCAGATGCCTTCTTATCGAGTATCCGGGAGCGCTAGGGATTGTACAATAAAAGATGCTTTTCTTCGAGTGATCCCCAACATGACATTTCAATCCGACAAATTTTCTGGCATGTACTGAAACTTTATTTTGGCATTCTTTCTGGCATATTCTCTGACATACATTCTTTCTGACACTGTTTCCGGCATATTTCTGACATTCTTTCTGGCATCTCTTCTGACATGCTTTCTGCCATATTTTCTGACATTCTATCTGGCATATCTTCTGACTCGCGGTTGAGGTCCGGCGGGAAACGCTGCCATCCGGAGCGGTGGTGGTGGGGGTGGGGGTGGTGGGGGTCCGGCGGGGAAGTCTGCCGTCCGGAGCTAACGGTGGGGGAGCTGGCGGTTGAGTTCCGGTGGGGAACGCTGCCATCCAGAGCTGTTGAGGTTGGGCGGGGAACACTGCCATCCAACACTTGTGTCACTTGTGGGGAGAGGAGAGGAGGAGAAGGAGAAGCACGGCAGCTGACATAATTACAATGTGACAACCCTCACCTGACAGTTGGTGGGGAAATGTATACATATAAATAAGTATACATATACATGTCGAAACATGTTGAGGTTTCCAAGCTTAGGAAAGACTCTTCCACCCCAAAGACAGATCCTTGGGCTGCACTTCCACAGACTTTGGGGAGAGACCCGGAAATAAAGAGAGGGTGTGCATGGGCGAAGGTAGTCTATCCCCAAACCCTTCCAGAACATTGAACATACCATGCATTGCTTCAATCACTGCTCGAGACCTAGGCGAAACCTGCATAATCTCAATGTGGAACCCTAATGACAATAACTACTACATCTCAAGTTTATTTGCCCAATATCAATGACAGGCGCCAAAGGACACCTGCATGTTCATTTGCTCACTACTTCTTAAAACGTTTTTATCTATAATGTTAACTCAAGGTGCTCAGACTAGGTTTCCAGAGATGGGGAAACATGGAGACATGACAATGTTTCAGATAAAATCCCAAAAACAAACAACGGTGGATTTATACGCAGCAGTCCTATAGTGGCCTCATGTTGCTTGAAATGTGTTTGTGTTTTCCCTCAATATTTTGTGATCATTGTATGTCATATGTTGTGATTTTTTTGGTCGGTTGTGGTTCTTGTGTTTGGCTGAGGGTGTTGATATCCTTTGCAAATTTATGAAGCCGTGTTGTTGAACACAACTTAGTTCAAAACCTATAGGTTTTAGATGTTTTGAAACAAATTCACCGTCAACCACGGTGTTCTAGCTACAATTGTGCACAAACATGATCTCCAGAGAGCACCTGCTCGGCAAGATAAACATGTATCAAAGGAAAAAAACACATCTCACACAACCATTCCCTCTCGGCATTTGTGTGTGTTTATTTGTTTTTTCGCTTCTACGTGGCACATGCCAGGCGAAGTATCAGGCGCTGGAACATCACAGCAAGATCACCTTGGACCCAGATCAGTGTTTGGGACCGACCAAACCACGCGGGGACCGAGCGCGGCGGTATGGTGAGTTTGCACTGCTTGGGGGGCGGGCAGGACCATTGGAGGGTTGGATCGTGTGGGGCCGGGATTGGATATCCATGAATGGCAGCAGCGGACAGGTGTTTTTGGTTGGCAATCGGACATGAAATGAAATGGGATTGGATATCGTTCTTCTTGGGGGGAAGAGCAAGGCACCCGGAATGGCAACACTTAGATGATTACTTGACGAATGGGCCATGGTACGTTGCGGTTATGAGCCATGGGAGGCCAATGAAGAACCCGAACATGGCAGGAAAACATCTGCAAGGAAGATGTTGTTCTTGTCCTGTGTTCACCAGGTAATACAGGCTGGAATTTGCAGTTGTGAAAGAACAACTTGCCAGGAATGGGGGAGGGGTGAATGAAGAACTCTTAACTTGCACCATCCATTGAAAAAGATACCAGATCATTCTGTGGATGACATGATGAAGAATGAAGTGTATACAAAACTATCAAAAGTTGTGTCCAGATCAAGTTGCAAGGCAGGGATCCTGTACCTGTACCCTAAGGCTCTACATCCGTTTCAAATGCCTTTAGTTCAGTTCGGGTGACCGACTTTTGTACGTTGCGGTCCCTTCCGTTGAATCTCGGAGCCGCCACATGGGAGTCGACGGCGCTCACCTGAGAGTGTTCTGAGAGACCTCACTTTGACTCACATGGAAGTTGAATGGAATGGTCCCTTAATTACGGAAGACTACGCCATTCGGCGCCATGCTAATTTGAGTTTCCGAGCGTGAGACCTGAGACCAGGCGCAAGGCTCCATCGTCGCAGCCGAGGTACACCGATGGGATGACCTTCCGTGGACAGCGCCTGGGAAAGGCCTGCCATCCAGGTCGTGGCCAAGGCGGAGTAGGGAGTTCTGGTTCGATGGGCGGCGAAAAATCCTCCAAGTCAAAAAAGAGGGAATGGTTTTCGAATGTTTTGGATCACAAACCAGCTCAGGTTTTTACCACTGACCCTCCAACATGTCTTCATAGGACGCTGTTGAAGTCCAAAAATGTATGTCATGTCCTGTGAAAGGGTTTTTGGCAAACACGTTTGATCTTGATTCCCCTCATGTTGCGGCATTCCTTGGATGTGGAGTTAAGTTTTTGATACCAGTTATAGGTGTAGAGTCTTTACTTTCTATCCTCAATTCCCAGACTTGGCCTCTCTCTACAGGAAACCTATAGCTTTGGATGGTGAAAGCATGGTTTCCTGTCGATTCTCCCTTTTTATCCATATGTGAGCAATGTCTTGGTTGGATCGCAAGCGTAAATGCCTGACACTCCAAGAGTGCCGGGCCTTTTTGCCGTGTGCTCCTTATTGGTGGATAATTCGGGGCGGATCATCGACGGCCTGAATCTAGTTTGTCCCACGAACCCCCCAAATCACAAATCGAAGAATTTGTGCCAAATCCCAAAGTCACATGTCATAGGTCGACCACAAGTTCTTAACAAATAATTTATGATAATTTATGTATTCAATGTATTTAATGCAATGATCAGTAAAACCTTCGCATACAGTGTTTGATCTGACCATTGATCCATCGTCCAGCCTTCGGTCAACTCGGAGGATCCATGAGGACCCTCGGCGGGGGTCTTCGCTTTTCCTCGGCCCAGCGTCCAGCCTCCACATCGGTGCGGTCCACATCGCGCGGGTTGGCCGGACAGCACCGCGCCAGGGGTGTGCGACGTGCCGCACATCAAGATCATCGGCGAAATCCATCCCAACGAGCCTCGGCTCCGACGTGCCGGTAGAGGGATCAGACGGTTCGACGGTTCCGGGGGAGTGGAGTTCAATGGGAGGTGTGGGAGAAGCGGACGGTGTGGGAATGGCGGAGGTGCTGCAAGGCTTCAAGGGTTCAAAGACAGAGGGACTGGATGGAATAAAGCAGAAGATCTACCCAACTTTTTGAGAGTTGCTGCTTCTTAGAGTTGCAGTATAGAGTTAACTTGCATGGCAGCACCCCACCACGGGGCACGTGAACACTACTGACATCCAAGACTTGGGATCATTTCCTGTGCTCAGTTTCCTCCAAAAAGGGCTATTGTTGAGGAGTGCAATTCGTCCGACTTGAGCAGACGCAGATCGCAACGTTTGTTTTGGGATGCAAGACTTCAGTGTGAAAGTGAGAGGATTCAGAAAAAAATGAAAAAAAAACACATTTTGTAGTCCTTTGTGTTGTATTATTTTTGTATTGGTTATCTTGTAGGTGTATGTTTGTGTTATTCTTTTGCTTTTCTGCTAAGAACACATCGGCATCGGTCAGGACATCATTCAGGGCAACGTGGGTGACTGCTGGCTGCTGAGCGCCATCAGTGCCTTGTCGGAGTTCGAGGGTGCCATTGCCAAGCTCTTTAAGAAGACGCCCAACATTAAGGCTTGTGGCGGCCATCGACGGGTGTCGAGGATTTGGGGCGTTTTGGTTACTGTTTCAACCTGGTTTGTTGAGTGGTGGTATGCCACTTCAACAGGTCCAACAGGATGCATGTTTTAATGTTCAATGTTGGATGGTTTTGGTGTTATCAGGCGCGTTTTTCTTTTTATTTCTTGGTTGCTTAAATAGGAAGTAGTGAGCCATGAAGGGGGCTGCCGTGAATAGTCTTTGGCTTTGGGGTTCAATGAGTGTAAGCAGCTGTGCAGGCACTGCCGAAGAACCAGCCACAGAAGTACGTGGTGACGCTCTACGAGTCTTGGGTGAGTCGTTTTGTTGTGCTGGTTTCAAGTTTGCCCAGTGATTAAATTTGATTGTCAGATGATGGTGACATTTAGCAAGTTTGATTGTATAGATTTGATGAATTTATTTGTGTTTGTACTTTTGCCCTTGCAAGCGTTGTTGGTCTTGTCTTTGTGGTTTGTAAGGAAAAATGCTAGTTCTTCTTGCCCCAGACAATTTTGAACATATGTTTTAAGAGCATACATTCTATATAATATGTATATATATATATCATTCCCATGATCCTGGAATCCGCGAAGTTCAACAACTCACAACAAGCAGGTGATGTTGATAGATTTGGCAACTCCAAAGAAGTGGGTAGCTTTAATTGGATGTTGACCAACATCATCCACTAGGATTTCATCCAAACAGTTTACCTAAGTAGATCACCTTCATTTTGCAAGCCTCCTGACAGAGCCAGTGGTCATGGTGTTCGACATTTAGACAAAGCTCCAAAGGAATTCTCTGAGGTCGGTGTTAATGGTAAGTTTGCCATGCCGCGGTGGCCATACGGTGGCCCGTGTCCATTTCATAGAGTTGGAGAGGGTGTTCCCTACTACATACCTCAAGAGAAGCATGTTTTTGTATCATTCCACCTGAGGACATGAAAACCTGGGCTCCAGTGGACATCGAGGCCAGCTAAGCGATACCTACCTTGTTCCTGTCTTTTTTACAGATGAGAAACCCATATTTTGAACTGGTGCAGTAATATTAGGATATTAGTCTTGTCAAGGATACCACAACATTGCTGTTAATGCCATAGTATCAGGTGCCATCAGAGTTGTTTGTATGAGTAACCCGGATTCCTTGTTTTCAGCTTTGCATAAAGATAAACATCACAGTTGAAGCAGTTATAAGTTATAAGCTATAAATGTCGCCGTTCATAATCTTGTAGTAGATACGGTGTATGACAGTTATGCTAGTGAGTGAATGTCGTAGAATATCGAGCATTATCGGACAATGGACGTATGCTTAAAGTATGTTGTTACAGTTGTGCTTCAGGACAATTGATGACATAATTAGGTGAATTGAACGCTTTTGCTTTAGGCCAGGGATGAACACACAGAGTGGAAGGTGTTTGACCATGCAAAGACCTACCCATCGCAGGGGTGCCGGTAAACATCCAAAAGATGATGTGGGGCTTCGGATCGCGTGGTTTTGCGTAGGGTGATTTTTGTGTGTGTCCCTATAGGCCCTATGGGTAAGTTCACCTGTGTTTTTTTTTGTTCCTAGGGTGCTGGGCAGCAAATTTGAGCTAGGTATTTGTATGATTGTCCTTCGTCTCTCTCAGCTGCTTGGTGTTTTCTTGGTCCCATGGATGGGAAACCAATCCGTTGGATAAGATAGCTGGTTTGGCTGCATTCTAGTACAGATTATAGATGATTATAGTGATCCCCAAATAGATAGAACATGATAGAAACGGTGTCCAATACTTTCTTAGTGGAGATCTACGTTTCTATCTATTTGGGTCTATATATTTTACAGGACCACTGTTCATGGAAGAAAGACTCTGGCACCATGCCAGCGAGGCTAGGAAATGCACAGCAAGTTGCACAGCATTTACGGTGTTTTGGAGGTTCCAGCTATTGTGGATGGAGAGTAGACAGTGCCATCGAACACATCGAACTTCTGAAACCGCTGCACAACAAGGAACCCATGTGGGTGTGATTTCCCATACGGAGACCGCCTAAAGGCCTGCTGGAAGAAGGACAATAGGGTCTATTTGATGGACCAAAGCCCACTGGTTGGGGGGGTCTCCCTATTCAAATACACAGCCAGCAGGGCCAGCAGCCATATCAATTAATCCTTTCCAGGTCCAGCGTCACTTTCAGCCGTCCTGCAACTGCTGGCCACACCTGGAGCGCGCGCGGATCGCCTGCCGCGCAGGTGGACGAGCGACTGTGCATGAAGCCCGATGGGAGTGACATCCTGGGTTGCCATCCCAGCTATGATGGAGAGCTATGGGCCTGCTACGTGACCTGGGCAATGGATTGAGATGGAGATGCTGTCTTTTAACAAGAAAACACCTGTGAAGCCTGAGAGGGTTCAATCTTGCTTTTTTTCAATTGGCTGTCCACTCCAGGTTGTTGCTTTTAGAAGGTCTCATAGTACATTTATATGTCTATTCTTTTGCAGAGTTCAAGGAAGGTGGAAGAGTTTCCTGCTGCTGTGGGTCATAAAGTACTCAAAAGGTGAACATCCCGACGAACAGAAGAGTACGGCTTAGTGGCTTAGTTGCCCATTGGAGCTACGTGACCTGCATTTGGGGTGCGTCTCGCGTTGACCGATGCTCGAAACTCGTGGAACCGGAGGGGTCGGAGGGGCCGTCGCACGAAGTTGCAATCAATTTGCGTTTTTCTCCACCTGTCAGGTGAGGGAGACTTGTCAGGTGTTGTGATGACATACTGACATACTGTGCCAGTCCTTCCTTCTGGGGGCGACGAAAGCACCGAAGGGTGCCAGGAGGGAGCCAGGAGGGTCCGACCCAACCTGCCGAACCGGCTGGAGGGACGGCTGGAGCCCGCTCTTGTTCTCCTTCTCTTTTCGTTCTTTTGCGCCTTGAGGTCGAGAAAGCCGTGGCGATCCATTGTGGTGGTTGGGATGAGATCGATGGTGGTCAATGCACGCATGCTTGGCGATTGCTGACCGGCTGTAGCTCCGAACACAAACATCGGTGGGACAGGTGGAGAAAGGCGGATGGGACATGGTATTCAGCAGCTTTTTTGCTTGATGACAGGGTCCTGTTTCTTTGGGTTGGACTTGTTGTGACTGTATGCACCGGCTATCCCAGGTTACAACCCTGCCTGGACCACCCAATGGTACACATAAAAGTGTTCAAGGCAATTTTTGATACACATTCTTGTAGCTCGAGCGTTGTTTGCTTGTTCCAGTCAACTCGAGCACTTTCTTTTGAGGGCTGGTGGTGGTGTTTGAGTTTTTCCTGATTGTTTCGAGTTCATACATTTTGTCGTGGATATGGCTCAAGCTGTGCCTTTTTGAGAGGGTGAAGGGTAAAATGGATCTGGCTGAAGGCATACAAGGCAGGTATGATTGTTGGGATAGCATGACCTTGCAAATTTGCAAAATGGTGTGGTGATACCCATGCTTGCACTCATGATGCATTCCACTGCAGGTGTGAAGTGGCACCCGGGCATTTCGAGGGAAGCTTTCGAGTCGGTTCTTGGTAAGGTTCTTTGGCTATGCAGCTATGCATGTTCATCTTGCTTGGCATAGTATGCACATGTTGATGCTGTGCATGCTCATGTTGCATTACATGGATGTCATCACGACTGCGTGACTGTCGCATGCATGTTGCTACACCGTGCTCTTCGCGTCGGTTGTCTGGGACAATCTCTGTAGCATTTGGCTAAAACCATGTCGTTCTGGGAGCAGGCATCGGTGTTGGCCACGGCGTGGGCCAATGATTGTGAGATCAAAGCATTGGGGGCAAAGCACTCTCTTTGCATAATCCAGAGGAAGAAAATATGCAGAAGATCCTCAAATGCAATTGTATCATCATGTATCATCTTATCATGTTGTACAATGATAGCCCATCAACCTTGTGCATGCTCATGCAATGTACATGTAGGTGTGTGCATTCATCAAAGGCGCGAGTCCAGAATACTCTCCTGTCGCTTGAGGTGATCTTCGCCAGAATGCTGACCAGGTGGCCCTTGCCGTGAAGCACTTGGGACTTCGACCTTCACTGGGTATGTTTGAACAAGCAGTTCATCAATTTTTCCATCTATGTCTCCCTCGTTCTGAAGAAGTTTGCAGTCCCTTGGTTTACTCACGTGCCCATTCACGCATATCCGGAATTGAGTTTGCATAGCATGGCTGCAATTGATTGCATGCATGGCTTTTCCATGTCATGACCTTTGTTTTTTTAATTTTGCTGATTAAGGCACCAAACTGAAGATGCACGCACGATATATCAAGAAACTTGTATATCGTTTCTCACGGATGGCCAAGAAACACGGCTGAATCTGTTGACTGCATGGTGGCTGTGCAAAGTGGCAAAGCCATGTTGGACAATGTGCTGCGCTGGTTTTTGACATTTGAGGAGGCCACATAAGCCCAAATGCAAGACGATCCGGAAATTGTATGCTGCAGCTGGCATCAAACTAGGAGGAGCTCTTCTACAACTGCAGCTTTCTAGGGGCTATGGTGTTGCAAATATATTTGCTTAGTGCAGGATCCAAAACAAATGAAACTTCTGATGGATCGAGTGACAGCTCAAGTTCGACATCTGCTTTGGGCTTACAGGTTTTGTGCATAACTACCAAAATGGAAAAGCAAAGCATATTGTCTGCGATTTGGTGTTGAGACTTTGGCAAGTAAATGATGAGGATGATGAAGGTGAAGATGAGATGGACTCCAGTGGTGATGGGGGAAGCCCTGGCGAGGGACCAGGCCTGCAAGCATGCATGTTGTCATGTCAATGCTTTGTGTTTCCGCTTACAGGTAGTGACTGCTTCCTTGTTCACTTGGATGCAGGCTGTTTGTCCACGCCGCCACCATGTCCAGGCAAAGAACTATGCTTGCAGCTTTCAATGTCTTTTGGGAAAAGGGTTGAACCGGTTTGCAGGACCGGCGCCGCTCGACCTCCCCAGTACTGGCAAAGTGGCCCGAGCTTTGGAGTTTGGTTCCTTGCATGCATGTATATTGTCTTCTTGTATGACATCTATATATTTGATTCAGCCAATCAAGTTAATATGTTGAGGCAAAGAGCCTGATCTTGATGCAAAGATGCTGTTGTTGAAAGAGCTTAGTGAACTTGAAGAGCTGCTCAAGATGAGATCTGCCATGATTGGCATGGCAACAGTTCCTCGTGCTCCATGTGATCCTCCTGACGCTCAGATCAGGCCGCCTGTGCCATCGAGACCAACCATGCCCAAGCAGCCACTGATCAGTCTGAAGCTTATGGTTGCTCATTGTAGGATTGTGTTGCATTAGCATGTGTATTGTAATGTTGTATGCTGCTCTGAGACCCTAATGATGTGGAGACCCAACCCATGGATGTCGATGGACCTATGCATGATGTGGTTCCTCGAGCTGTGATCATGTCTTCGGAGGCATGCTCGACTTGTTCTGCATGTTGCTTTCATCAAAGAACTGCCTGACCAGCAAGACCGTCAGAGTATGAACTCAGGCGGAGGCTGAAGAAAGGTTGAAGCGAGAGCAAGAAGAAAAAGCAAGGAAGGAGAAGGAGGAGGCTGAAGACAAGTTGAAGCGAGAGCAAGAAGAAAAAGCCAGGAAGTTGAAGGCGGAGGCTGAAGAAAAGTTGAAACGAGAGCAAGAGGAAAAAGCAAGGAAGGAGATTGCGGAGGCTGAAGAAAGGTTGAAGCGAGAGCAAGAAGAAAACGCCAGGAAGGAAAAGGCGGAGGCTGAAGAAAAGTTGAAGCGCGAGCAAGAGGAAAAAGCAAGGAAGTTGAAGGCGGAGGCTGAAGAACGGTTGAAGCGAGAGCAAGAAGAAAACGCCAGGAAGGAGATGGCGGAGGCTGAAGAAAAGTTGAAGCGAGAGCAAGAAGAAAAAAAAAGGAAGGAACAGGCGGAGGCTGAAGAACGGTTGAAGCGAGAGCAAGAGGAAAAAGCAAGGAAGGAGATGGCAGAGGCTGAAGAACGGTTGAAGCGAGAGCAAGAAGAAAAAGCAAGGAAGGAAAAGGCGGAGGCTGAAGAAAAGTTGAAGCGAGAGCGAGAGCAAGAAACAAAAGCCGGCGTGGCTTCTGAAGTGCAAGGGCTGTTGGATCGACCATGCATTGCACCACCGGCAAAAAGGAAGAGAGTAAGCAAGAAGAAACCATCAAACGAAGAAAATCAGCGATCGCCAGCAGCTGAAAGTGCGGACGAAGAGAAACCTTTGGAAGCCGCTGCGGGTGAAACGGGCAAACCAAAGGCCAAAGCCAAGGCAAAAGGAAGGGCAAAACGAGGTGAGGCTAAGGCCAATGAGGGGGAAGAACCTTGTAGGAAGGAGGCTGCTGAGGAGGAAGCTGTGGATGATGAATCAGGCGCAGCAGCCAAGGGATCAGGAGGTGCTCGAAAGGGAAAGAAAACGCAGAAGAGTAAGAGCAATGATGAAGCGAAGGCGAGAAACGCCAGGAAAAGCAAAGCGTATGGTGCTGCCAAGAGGACGGCGCTCAAGAATGGTCGCAGCATGGAGGAAGCCACAGCTTTGGCCAAGGAGGCTCTTGGGCTATTCATCTAATGGACATATAAACTGGTATATTCATTGGTATACACATTAACTACATGCATGCTGTATATGTTCAATCATGTTACAATCTTTTCTGTAGTTGTTACATCTGAGGCTTACCGCAGCACCGATTGATGGAATGATGGGATGGGTTGGATTCATTTAATTCGATGTATCAAATTGCGAAAGTGTAATTCACTTTGACATGTTCATGTGCCTGCTGGAAACACAAAGTGTGATGGCATCTTGTGTATGGAGCATGCACAACTCTAGGCTCTGCATGCTGCAATCCTATGCACGCTGTGTCGTTGAAAGATCGACCTTGTTGTGCGTCAGCTTGCAAAACAGTCTGCTTGGCATCCTTTCGCGTGCTTGCATGAATGCACTGATTGCATAATTGGTTCTTTATTGCATGGACTCGCACGCATGCATGCTTGAACTGTTGCATGCATGGATGAACTGCTGCATACATGGTTGAACCATTGCACGCATGCATAGGTCATTGATTGCATGAGTTGCTTGAGCACTTGTGGTGTGATGGATCGGATGTCATTCTCAGGTGACTGACTCTGGTGCGTGATTGGTGTGGAGATCCGAAGAGGTGCGCCCCTGGTAGCAAACATTGCAAGCATTGCGGAACATGTGTGTCGTTTGCAGGCTTGTCATGGGTGATTGTGTACTAGAGCTGTTTGGCTCAGAGATGACTATGCCGGGTGGACCAATGATCGGCTATGAGTGAGGCCTGAATGTATGCATGGAGTCATAGAGCTTGACATGCCAATTGGGTGGGTCTCTGCTGCAGGAGCATGAAGCGTGCCTCAAAAGCAGTCCCTCGGCATGCAGTTTGTTGAACTCACAAGACTCACAAGTTCAAACATCAACAACTTGGAGTCTTCTGCCTGCCCAGGATTCGGACCAGGCAGCCAAGAGACTACCTGGCTGGATCGAGATCCTGGACAAACATGAGGCGTGTCTAAAAAAGCGGTCAGGCTTATGTGAGAAGCATCTCGCTCCCTGCTCAGGTGTCGCAGCAGACCATCTACAAGATCAGCCAGGCTTCTGAAACCTGTGTATATGTCAGCGCTTTGCGACTCTGGTGCAGAGGATGCTGAGATTCAGAAAGCTATGATGATTTTGGCTGGATACGCGGCTCAGGACCCTTGGTGGGAGATGTGTGTGTGTGTGGGTGTGGGTGTGTGTGTGTGGGACAACTGCAGAAAACACATGTGTTGGGACATTCAAACAAGTCTCCTGTGGTTATCATCAGGAAGCAACCGCTCGAGAGAGGCAAGGACAATGTGATCCTGGAGAACGCTCTTTGACCTCGAGGCATGTTTGCACTTTGTTGCACCCATGAATGATCGTTGTAGTTCATTCATTTTGCATATACACTGTGTAAGAATCGGAGTTGGACAGGTTGCATGCATGTTGATTGAGTGATTGCACTCATGAGGTTGCC